ATAATATTATAATAAATAATAATTAAACATGGATAATAATCCTTGTAGTCAGGAAGTTCTATTTAAATATCATAACAAGAGTAAATGATTGGATTAAAAAAAACCCCAAACAAGCCAAGTTTCACCTGATGGAAGTGACTTTGCTGGAATTAAATGTCCTCTGTTGTGCTCTCGTGATTCAGAGCGGCTGTGGCTTCTGTTTGGTTTGTTTGTTTGGGGTTTGGTTTTTCTTTTGCACCTGATATTCCCCTGCAAATGATACTTTAGAACTGAGCAGACAAGAGGGGTTTGTTTATGCAAAGCTGAGGAACGTGAGGACTTGATGTAAAGTGAAGCATTGAAATGTGTTCAGGTTTAAATGTAACATCAGTGAGATGAGATGTGCTTGAGCTGCGTTCTCCTGTCTTACCCTGAAGGAATATTGATGTTAGTGAATATATTCATGGACCATAATTACATGGACCTGTTAGAACTAGTCCAGAGAAGGCCACGAGGATGATGCGAGGGCTGGAGCAGCTCTGCTGTGAGGACAGGCTGAGAGAGTTGGGGCTGTTCAGCCTGGAGAAGAGAAGGCTCCGGGGAGACCTTCTAGTGGCCTCCCAGTACCTGAAGGGGCTCCAGGAAGGCTGGGGAGGGACTTTTCATAAGGACAACTAATGACAGAACAAGGGGAAATGGGTTTAAGCTGAAAGAGGGGAGGTTTAGATGAGATATTAGGAAGAAGTTCTTCACTGTGAGGGTGGTCAGACAGTGTCCCAGGTTGCCCAAGGAAGTTGTAGATGCCCCCTCCCTGGAAGTGTTGAAGGCCAGGCTGGATGAGGCTTTGAGCAACCTGGTCTAGTGGAAGGTGTCCCTGCTCCTGGCAGGGGGGTTGGGACTGGATGATCTTTAAGGTCCCTTCCAATCCAAACCAGTCTGGGATTCTATGATATTAATCTGCAAGAACAATGTTAATAGGATTCAAAGCTCACTGTTGTTTTAGGAAGAAGAATTCTAGTGCCTCGTGGAAAGGGAATGATGTGGATCTCTAAAACTTCTATTTTTGTCATTCCAGGTATCTCAGAAACTCCCCAGAAGTTCAGCAGAGAAGGAGAAGCTGAGATTGCAAAGGGTAAGGCTTTTTCACTGCCGTTGCAAGTATAACCCTGCTCGTGCCTTCAATTTCTCCCAGTCCTTTGCATTTCCTTTCTGTCCACTTAGAACATCTCTTTTCCTGCTTTTCCTCACTGATGAACCTGGACGAATCTTAATGCTCACAGTTAAAGTACCTGGCTGGTTCCAAAGCTTCTTAATGCACGTGTAATGAAGTGTGGGTGGCCTGCCCTGAATTTCTGTGCACTTTGCTAAGAGATTAAGAAACTCTCAATGTTGCTGACTTGCTTGTCAAAATGCTTTTGAGAGAGAGCTTGTTGTTTTTTCAAACCCTTCCTAAGAGGATAGAGGCATCTCACTAAGTGGACAGATAGAAGAGAAACCTTCCAGAGCCTTTTATTTAGAGCTAGTTCTTGCTTTGTCATTCTCACTCTTCCCCCCTCCTTTTAAGCTAGAAAATATCAGGTCTGTTCTTCATTAATAAATGAGGCAAATGGGCCACTGTGTTTAGAGCTTGCTGAAGAAATTATTGGATGTCACTGCTGGAAATATTCAAGCTCTGGTCTCTGTTTGCTTGAGTGCAGCCAGGCAGTGCTATAATTTTGCTGTCCGTTCTGCTTTTGGTTCTTAAATGCTAAATATAAAGGAGGCTGATGGATCACGTGGAGTTTTTGAACAGTCAGTTCTCTCTCTCTCTCTCTCTCTCTCTCCTCTCTCTCTAAATACGAGTGGGCTTTGCCTGCTGGAAAACTGGGTGTTGTTTTAACTGCAGTGGGAATGGCCTGTGCTTATCAATTCTTATTGTGGGGTTTTTTTTTAGTAAGTCATTTATAAAGTTGGTAAAGGACTGTTTTATATAAGTTATACATGGTTGGGCCTGCTCCTGAGATGCTTTTTACAGTGCCCATATAAAAATCCAATCTCTTGTGTTCTTCCATTCTATATGGATGTTAAAACCAGCAACAATATCAGGGAGCAATGAAAATTGAAGCTTTATTACGCTAAAAATTAAACCCACCAGTCTCACTGTTAACTTCACACCATGTTCCAAACTGCCCAGTAGATTTTTTCACTCATTACCATGACAATATTAATTTTTTTAACATTTTTTTTTTAACCATTGGCACCATTTTGCATGTTATTTGCCTTCTGCAGTTCTCTGTACGTGGTGACTCTATTCGGTAAGTCTTGACCATTGCCAAGAAGAGATGTGAAATAAAGAAGATGAAATTGAAAATACACAGGGAGGGTATTTGTGTGGCTCAGCACAGACATACTCTCCTTTCCTGGTGAAGTCAGCTGTGCCTACAACATAGGGCAGCTCCTTTTTCTTTAATTTGTCATTTTTTACTAAGTAAATTTGTATCAATAGCCCCATCATGAGAATTTCAGTTGCCTTGGGAGGAAATACTGTGAGCAGCAACACTTTCAATGTCATCTTCCCCTCGTTGTTCCCATAGTGCCCCTTAAATAAGCTGAGGGCACATGGTGTTATCTGATTATCTAACATGGACTAAAGCAAGTGACATATTTTTTTGGTGAGCTCCGGGTCTTATAAAGCACAATCCAGAGTTTGGAGACTCGTGTGACTGCCTGAGATAGCACAAAACATGGTTAGAAAATCCTTCTGGGTTTATAATGCAAAATCAAATCAAATTCACTTGTCAAACTTATACCATGGTAGCCCTACATTGGTATAAAAGGATGAGAGCTTAGCTCATGAGGTATTTATTTCCAAAGAAAGCATTTTGGAAACAATCTGAAGTCTGAAATAAATGAAATTTATAAATAATGTACAAAAAAATTTCCCATATAATTTTCCATAATGCTCTATTGGTAATGAAGATGACTCAAATATAAAACAAGTTGAATACAGAGCTTTCTGTGATGTTTTAAAAATGGAAACACCTCCTTTTGTTAGGAGAAAAGAACAATTAACACCTTCAGAGAGCCAGAACAAGGTGACTCAGCTGGCTGAGGCAACAGGTAGCTGTGATTAATAACCGTGTGTCAGGCGATGGCTGGAAATGATGCTGCAGGTCAAGCATTGGCTGGGTGCAGGAATTTCCTCTTGGATCTCAGCTAAAGAAATGAAATCTATGTTTTATTCAGGTTTTTAGGGGGGTTTTTTATGCCAGCAGCTATTGCTCTGTGTGAAAAGGCAACTTGTTTAACGGCTTCTTCCTGACCCAGGACCAGGAGCGCGCGGACAAGCTGCAGAAGTTGCAGGCGGAGAGAGAGGAGAAGGGAAGGCTGAAAGAAGAAGCAAAGGCTGCAAAAGAGAGAGCCAAGGAGGAGGCAAAGAAGAGGAAAGAAGAGGAGAAAGAGTTGAAAGAGAAAGAAAGGAGAGAGAAGAAAGAAAAAGAAGAAAAGGAAAAAGCTGAGAAGCTGAGAGTGAAGGAGGAGAAACGCAAGGAGAGGCAGGAAGCTTTAGAGTGAGTGTCTCAGGTTCTGCCCGTCCTGGGGAATAACATGGAATGATGTGAGAACCTTTCCATACCCACCTTAACCATCCCTTCTAGGGGGTGCACTGGTCAAACATGAAGGGGGCCTACAGGAGAGCTGGGGAGGGACTTTTATAAGGGCAGGGAGTGACAGAACAAGGGGTGATGGCTTGAAAGTGGCAGAGGGGAGATGGAGCTGAGATGTGAGGAAGAAATTCTTTGGTGTGAGGATGGTGAGACAGTGTCCCAGGTTGGCCAGAGAAGCTGTGGCTGCTCCTCCCTGGAAGTGTTCAAGGCCAGGTTGGATGAGGCTTTGAGCAACCTGGTCTAGTGGAAGGTGTCCCTGCTGCTGGCAGGGGGGCTGGGACTGGATGAGCTTTAAGGTTCCTCCCAACCCAAACCATTCTATGATTTTATAACATCACGTCCCTCTTTGTCATGGGATATATTTGAAGTGCTTTATAGACACAGCACACCACACCCTGCTCTCAGTGCTTTTTACTTGCAGGCTGACCTGAGTTTCTGATTTGAAATGGCTGAAAAGAGCTTTCACGCTCTGCTGAGTTTTCCCTTTGTGACCAGTCTTGCTGGTACTTTTGCAGTTTACTGGCACTGGTGCCCTGGTTGTTGAGGAAGTTGTTCATAACTCAGTAATAACAGAAATACCATTTCCTTGTATTGAAAGAAACTTGAAGCAGCCTGGTTACTTTGTGGCTAAAACAGGTCAATATTTGCTCTAGGAGGAATGAAGAGAGTCTTCTATAGGCTTAACCAAGTGTGGTCTTTAAATTAATAGATCATCTTCCTGCTTAGCATGATTGGGTCTTAGTCAAACTCTGGGGCTTCTCACCTCAGTGCAAATAAAACCTTGATGATTTGTTAACAATTAAAATGAACTTTATATTGAAGGGCAAAACTTGAGGAGAAGAGAAAGAAAGAAGAGGAGAAACGGTTAAGAGAGGAGGAAAAGGTAAATGCTTTTTCTAGATTGTCTCTGAAGTTCTTCTGCTTTGGTGAAATGATGTTAATGGGCTCCCTGGCACCTGGCTGGCTGCTGCTGAGCCATTTTTGATGGGGCTCCTGCAGATACTGCTGTTCTCCAGGCAGTGTACCCTGCCACTTGGGAATGAGCACGTCCCTTTGGGATGCAGCCTGTCCAATCTGCTCTGGGAGTGCTGCTCCACCAGTTAAATCATGAGATTTCTTGTCTGTTGCTTTCATACGTGTCCATTATCTTTGCTTTTACCTGTTCAAGTCTTTTCTGTCTTTGTTTTTCCAGTGCCTGTGAGTGAACTCTCTCTCCTTTGTCTTAGCAGTGACATTGGAATCCACGTAGGTGTGTTAGAGAAGACAATTAGGGTTGTTTTATTGAGTTTCAGGGAGCTGGTAAAGGACTGAACTTTCTATCTCACTAGATTTGAAGTTAGGTCATGCATGAGCTCACCTTGAATGAGAAGGCTTCCTCCTACCTTTGTGTTTTTAATTTGCATTTTCATTCTGATTTCAGCGTCTTAATGCACAGAAAGCAGAAATTACGAGGTTCTTCCAGAAACCAAAGACTCCACAGGCCCCCAAGGTGAGGTATTGCTATTTCTGTCTTTTGTTGGTCTTCCATTCATTGTCTTCTAACAAAGATGCTAATTTCCTTCTGATCTGTCCTTTAGACTTTTCTTAGGTGGACGAGGCATTAGTATTTCTTACTTCCTGATTTCAAAAGTGTCAAGGATTTATTTTTAAAAAGCCTGTGACCAGAGCAGAGACTGCAAAAGAAGTTTGTAGTTGCTTTAGTAAAAATCTCAACTCTGTCTTCTGCTGCTTTGACTGTAAAGACTTAGATTCCCTGGAGAAGATCTGTTGGAGTCTCAGATAGGAAGAGCTTAACCTAAATCTTCCCTCAAACCTCAGCACTTGGTATTGAGGTTTCTTGTAGATCTTGAATGTGTCAGTACTGCAATTTCTCAGGTGTTCAGACCTTAACGATCCTCACTTAATATTTCAGATCCTTGCTGGCTCTTGTGGCAAGTTTGCTCCTTTTGAAATTAAGGAGAACATGGTCTTAGCTCCCCTCTGTCGTATTGCCCTGGATCCAGACTCCTTAGAACAGCTGGATAAGCTCCTGCGTGCACAGAATAGCGACGTTTCTTTCTTGAGGGATCTGAAGTGTCGTAAACCACGTAAAACTGGACCTACTTTTGTCAAGAACAGTGCTGACATAGTAAACAGGTTAGTCTGTGCTTTGGGAGCTTTCTTCACTTTTTGTTTTTAAATATAATGAAGTGCAGACTGGTTTTTGAGCCAGTCTTGTTCTAATATTGGAGATGATGGAAACATGGAGCTTTTGAATCGTTATGAGAATTGTTTCCACAGGGAGCAGTACATTATGATATAAGTTTCCTTCATTCCATACAACACTTCTTAAATCCTTCCCTGCAGGAAATCTTGCACTTCAGGCAGCTGCCTTCAGCACTGGACTCTACTGGCCCTTAGTGGTTTTTTGTCTTTGATAATTTTTCTCTTTGATAATTTCAGCTCGCTGAAACAGAGCTGCTGTAGGGTTGTAGTTACGGAGGGAGGTGGTTTGTCTGCAGCCCATGTTCTTGGGAGTGCTTGTTCTGATGAACTCAAGCTCTGGGTTTGTGTTGTGGCTGAACTGAAGTTTTTTAGAAGATGATTTTCTGAGCAGCAGGGGAATGTTCTGCAAGTACTGAAGATGGTGTCTTCTTTTTCACAGCGACGTGGTGGTGGTGGTGGATAACTGCAAAACAGATGCTGTTCCTGAGAGAGGGAAATTTGGTAGAATGAAACTTCTGCAGTTTTGTGAGAATCACCGTCCTGCCTACTGGGGCACGTGGAACAAGAAAACCACTGTCATCCATCCCAGGAATCCTTGGTCAAAGGACAGTGTAAGCACCTCACAGGCAGCGTAGTTGGGTTCTTTTCTCTCCTCATTCTCTTGAAGTGAATACGCCGTTGGCCAAGTTCACTTGTTCTCTGGGATTTCTGATCCACTTTCATGTTCCCTCTTGCTACTGAGTTTTGAAACCTGGCTGGGGTCTGTTGTCATGCTCTCAAATTATTTACAGAAATGGCATGTTGGCTTTTCTTCTAGAAACTACTGGACTACGAAGTAGATAGTGATGAAGAATGGGAAGAGGAGGAACCTGGTGAAAGTCTCTCCCATAGTGAAGGGGTGAGGATGCCACCTGCTGAAAAAATACTTTAGAATGAAGAATCATAGAATGGTTTAGTGCCTTAAAACCTCACCCAGTCCCACCCCCCCTGCCATCAGCAGGGACACCTTCCACTAGACCAGGTTGCTCAAAGCCTCATCCAACCTGGCCTTCAACACTTCCAGGGAGGGGGCATCTATAACTTCTTTGGGCAACCTGTTCCAGTGTCTGACCACCCTCACAGTGAAGAACTTCTTCCTAATATCTCATCTAAACCTCCCCTCTTCCAGCTTAAACCCATTTCCCCTTGTTTTGTCATTAACTGCCCTTATGAAAAGTCCTTCCCCAGCTTTCTTGTAGCCCCTTCAGGTACTGGGAGGCTGCTGTAAGATCTCCCCGGAGCCTTCTCTTCTCCAGGCTGAACAGCCCCAAGACTTTCTGAACCAATTGTCAGTGTAATTTCTAATAAGCAGAATTTATTTTTTAGGATGATGAAGAGGAGGGAGAGGATGAAGATGATGACGATGGATTTTTTGTACCCCATGGGTACTTATCTGAAGATGAAGGAGTGACAGAAGTAAGTGAACTGGGTGTCACTGGGTTTTCATCTCTGTTTCCAATGAATCATGTAATGAATTTTGGCAGAGGAAGAAAGCACGTGGCCTTGGCAGTGGTGTAACTCAGATCTGTGTGGTTCAGGAACCAGACTTCTGTAGCTCAGGGAGTGTGATAAAAAGCTAGGTTGAAAAAGCTTTTATTTTTTCCTGAAATGGGATGTATCAAGTTCTTTCTCACCTGTGGCTTTAGGAGTGTGATCCAGAGAACCAGAAGGTTCGTCAAAAGCTGAAAGCAAAGGAGTGGGATGAACTGATGGCCAAGGGGAAGAGGTTCCATGTTCTACAGCCTGTGAAAATCGGCTGCGTCTGGGAGAGGGCAGAAAACCACAGCGGCACAAACGCGGACCTAAAGGTTCTCCAGCAGTTCACAGCCTGTATCCTGGATTTACCTGCTGCAGAGGAAGAACAGCAGATACAGAAATGTAGCAAAAAAAGAGCCAAAGATCAGCAAAGTAAGACCTGAGGGGATAAATAATTGTACTTATGCTCTGCTTTGGAGAGAATAGATTTTTATATTGAGTGTCAAATTCAGAATGACCTGTTTGAAATCCAAGGAATCTCTGTGAGAGTTCTTGGAAAGGAGTTTTCCAGCATTGCATCTGCTATGGCCTTAGTCACATTCTCCAAAAGCTCTTGCTCTGGATAATCTAGGAAATGCAGCCAACAGGCCTTGAGTAGACTCAGATTTAGGGTTGATTAGTGGAAGTGCTCGAGCCTGTTGACCTATTTCTTGTTTGAGGGGAGAGGGTTTAGTTTGTGTGACAGGTTTCAGTGCTGAGTTATTTTCTGTGCATGAAGAATGTGAATAATGCACAGAAAGGCTAGAGCAGGGATTGAGGCTTTCCCTTCAGGAGGTCCTTATTATTGGAGGTGACTTTTCTGCCTCAAAATTTATCTCCTGTTACAATCCCATACCTAAAATTAATCACAACCTATTTCTTTTCTTCCTGGAGAGTGTGTACTGATAGGCTGTTTCAGCCTGGCTTCTCTCAGCCTTTCACAGAATCCCAGAGTGGTGGGGTTGGAATGGACCTCAGGAGATCATCCAGTCCAACCCCCCTGCCAAAGCAGGTTCCCTACAGCAGGTTGCAGGATGTTGTCAGCTGATACAGGATGTGTGGTGTCTCAGGAGTAAAAAGGTTTAAACCTTTACCCCATGCCTTTAAACAAACACTGGGTTTATCTGTGTCTTGTGTGACAGAGCACTGAACATCTCCAGAGATGGAGACTCCACACCCTCTCTGGGCAGCCTGTCCCAGGGCTCCAGCAACCTCACAGTGAAGAAGTTTTCCCTTGAGTTTGTCTGGAACTTCTGGTGTCCCAGTTTGTGCCCATTGCCCCTTGTCCTGTCACTGGGCACCACCGACAAGAGCCCGGCCCCATCCATTGACCCCACATTTCAGATCTTTATAGACATTGATCAGATCCCCTCTCAGGCTGCTCTTCTCCAGGCTGAACAGTCCCAGCTCTCTCAGCCTCTCCTCGTCAGGCAGATGCTCCAGGCCCCTCATCACCTTTGTGGCCTCTGCTGGACTCTCTCCAGAAGATCCCTGTCCCTCTTGAACTTTAAACAATTCTTCCTCACAACCTTTGTCCATCTTTCTTCTCTGCAGTCCTTGGCCAGTTGCTGCCGCTGCTTCATGGCAACGTGAACGGGAGCAAAGTGATCATCCAGGAATTCCAGGAGTGCTGCCGGCAAGGACTGTTCAGTGAGGTGACTGCAGCCACTGACTGTAGTGACACGAGCCCCACGAGCCCCCACACCTCCCGGCCACAGACCCCTGTTGGGGAGGACAGCGGTGTCCCTTCCAAAGCCAGGCTAAAGAGAATCATTTCAGAGAACTCTGTGTACGAGAAGAGACCTGAATACAGGATGTGTTGGTACGTCCACTCGGAGGTGCTGAAGAGTTTTGATCAAGAGCATCTCCCCGTCCCTTGTCAATGGAACTACGTCACCCAAGTCCCTTCTTCAGGGAAGGAGGAAGGTGGCAGCGTGCCAGGCGTGGCCGTCCTGCAGAGCACCCCTGTGTCAGTGAAGAGGAAGTCCACTGGAAGCATGTCCATCACGAAATTCATGAAGAGACCTCGGGATGCTGAACAGGTGAGTCCCTGTCACAATGCTCTTCACCAGTAAAGGACAATGGGAATGTAGCTGCATGTCTTCAGTAGGTGAGTGTGTCCTGAGATGCCTCCCAGATTGGCCTTGATGAGCAGAGTCAGAATATGAAGCTACAGACAACTGTCCTTCACCCTTCACTGTGAGGGTGGTCAGACACTGGAACAGGTTGCCCAAGGAAGTTGTGGCTGCTCCTCCCTGGAAGTGTTCTCGGCCAGGTTGGATGAGGCTTTGAGCAACCTGGTCTAGTGGAAGGTGTCCCTGCTGATGGCAGGGGGGTTGGAACTGGATGAGCTTTAAGGTCCCTTCCAACCCAAACCATTCTATGATTCTATGAAAAAAAAAAAAGACCCTTTTTGTGGGGGGGAAAGGAGTGAAATTATCTGACTTCAGAGAGATGGGTTTCTTTTGTGTGTCTCCAGCTTGGACTGTCTATTCCATTTGAAATGTTGCTCTCCTGCTGTTCTTCTATTTTCTGCTCTTTGGCAGTGATTGCATCCAAGCTGTGAATAGTTTCTGAGTGTCTGCTTGGCCTTCCTTTTACAGCTGTGCATCATTTGTCTGCAGGTTTTTATGTGTGTGTGTGTGTGTGTGTGTGTGGCTGCCAGATGTATAGCCTGAGCTGGTAACTTCCATCAGCTGCTGATTAAATGTGGTTCATAAATGCTGCAACTCAACCTGTAACAGTCTGTAAAGTCTCCAGCTCGTAGTGTCACATAGAAAGCTGAAATTTCAAGAGCTGGTTTAAAAAATTAATAATAATAATAATTCACAAGAACAAAATGAGATGGACTTGGAGTAGTCGCTGCTCCAACTCTTAAGCTTTGTTGTGGTCTTCCTCTTGTTTGCTTCTGCTTTTCAGGGTAACCACAAGTCATTATTAAGAGTTTAATCATCCAAAAGGATGACTGAAAATATGCAGTGGGTGCTTTAGGGATGCTCTGTCGTGTATTTAAGACAGTCAGGCTTTAGGTCCTGAAACTTGCTGTTATCAGCTGTTTGTCTCCAAGCCTGCGGGTAGGATGGGGTTTGTGCTGTCAGTGAATTTATTCCTCATCCCCTGTGGGCAAGAGGGTGAGGAAAGAAGCCACAAACAAGGCTCTTTATGCTTTTCCTTCCCACTTTATTCTTGGCTTCTTTGGCTTTTCTACTGAAAAAGCTCTGCCTTCAGGTATTGATAGGGATCAGAGACTTGTGAGAAGCTGTTCAGCCCCCAAACTCCATCTGCTTGGGGTGTTGGGGGGTTTTTTTGTACACTAAATAGAGGCAGAGATAAAAATCTCTGCTTGGCACCCACTGGAAATTCTGCTTAGAACTGACTACTCGAGCAGAAATAGCAAAACAAAGCCTTTTAGTTAGAATTACATCACCAACCTGAATTCTTCAAAGCTCTGGAAATGCATCTTAAAACCACCCTGGTGCTGTGGAGCTCAGAGCAAAGGGTGTCAGAGGCTTGAAAGCTTTTCATGCCTGACATCTAAATCAGCACTGCTCAGGTACTGAGATCCCATCCTTCCTGTGGAGTGAGGGGACAGTCTCAGAAGGACAAGGAGGTCGAGGCTGCCAGGTTCTCTACCCCTGGCACGTGTCACTGTGCCATGAAGCTGGTAAGTGAAGGTGCTGTTGCATAAGCTGTGGAGAGAGGAGAGTTTGGTATTGAAGTGCTCAGTACCTGCACACGTGTAGGAGGGGGAACACTTCATCTGAGAAAATAATGTGACTTTAATGAAAGATATAAATTTAAAATTTCTTTTCTCAAAACAGCTTGTTAGGGGGTGTGGGGACCAGGTTTTAGGGCTGAGATTTTCATTCCACAGTTCCAGTTCAGGGAGAAAAAAAACCTACAAAAAACCAAAACAACAACAACAAAACAACCAAACAAAAAAACCCCCCCAAAAAACCCAACCAAACCCACTCACAGCTGTTTAATGCTGGGCAGTTTATGTTTGTATTGCTCCTTGTGTTCATTTTCTTGATTAAAAATGAAGCATTTGTGCTGCTCCCATGACAGAAATTAGGGTGACCAAGGGAAGAACCGTCGCCCCTTGAATAAAAACTAATTGGCAAAGATGAGGAGGAGTTGGGGGGAACACGCTTTAAACTTAACAAGCAATTTCCTTCTGCAGAAGGAAGAAAGCATCCAAAATAATCAGCAGAGAGGGGGGAGAGAGATTTCCCTTCCCCAAAACCAACAAAACTGAGATTCCAATTAAGACTTGAGCTGACTCTTGGAGGCGTAGGCTGTTCCTCGCGTTGTGTAACAGCGAAACATCTCGCAGCAGGAGCTTGGCCTGCTCCCTGTGGTGTGTGCCATTGCAGATGAGGCCTCTTCTCCAAAATCAGTGGCTGTTGGAG